GAAACATTAATTAATACTGAATTAAGCATACATTTCCGTTAACCGTAATCTCGTTAGTTATGTTCCAACATTCCCTCCATCTTGTGCCAATATCAGTTTTTCAAGTCTTGGTTCCGATAGTTTATATTTTTTTCTAGGAGATTGTCAGCTGGATAGGCTCTCTGGAAGATTTTGTATAGCTTACCTATTATATGAATATCTTTTTCTGACTCAAATAGGATTCCCTCACAATTGCTCTGATGTCCAAAACTTTTCAAATCAATATTTTGTGATATAAAAAATTTCAGTTGCATGTATTTGAAAATATCTATATTGGTCAACCAGATTTGCTTTTTTAAGCTCTCATGGAAATAAATGTATTTCCTATTACAAAGTAATTTACGGTTTCTATGCCTTTAGTTTTCCATGTGGACCAATTTATTGGTGAATTCTGAAAAGCTATCCAATGATTGCACCATAAGGTTGTGTTTCAATTTTAAATTCAGGCTGTAACACAAACAAACAAAATGTCAAGGGGTGTGAATACTTTCAAAAGGCACGATATGTTATCGTATCCCAATGTAATGAAGGTTTGAAATGATTATGTTTTGTGAAATACTATATCTGTTTGGGCTTCTTGCAGAAATTATTTATAATTATGTTGACCATCCTCTCAAGAAGAAATTGGCCCATGGCTGAATGTAGTTGGGGAGCTCTTGTCTATAGACTAGCTCAGGGATGTGAAACTCTGGTCCTGGGAGCCCCAGGGAGTACAAGCTTTTGTTCCAGCCCAGCTCGAAAACACATGATTAAACTAATTGTGGTCTATATTGAAAACCATGATAAAATGGTTCACTGTTCCACTTCTTTCTAATCAATGCATAATGCATATGGAGAAAGAAGCCATTTTAGACTATTAAGATACACCCAAAGTCCTGTCACTAGTAACTAGTTATTCATATAGGGGAGAGTGGGGTATGTTAAGCCATTTATTACCTTCAGCATCTCGCTGTTTAGGGAAATATAGTATTATCTCTAACAAAGATATCTACATATATTTCAGGATGTTGTGTATCCCTGGAAATAATCAGAATTCATGTAAACATTACAGTTTTGAAAACAAAGCTTGTGGTATGGGTTAGTTGAGCCCCGGGACAGGCTAAGTTAAGCAATCAATCAATCAATCAATTTTATTTTATATAGCCCTTCTTACATCAGCTAATATCTCGAAGTGCTGTACAGAAACCCAGCCTAAAACCCCAAACAGCTAGTAATGCAGGTGTAGAAGCACGGTGGCTAGGAAAAACTCCCTAGAAAGGCAAAACCTAGGAAGAAACCTAGAGAGGAACCAGGCTATGAGGGGTGGCCAGTCCTCTTCTGGCTGTGCCGGGTGGAGATTATAACAGAACCATGCCAAGATGTTCAAAAATGTTCATAAGTGACAAGCATGGTCAAATAATAATCAGGAATAAATCTCAGTTGGCTTTTCATAGCCGATCATTAAGAGTTTAAAACAGCAGGTCTGGGACAGGTAGGGGTTCCATAACCGCAGGCAGAACAGTTTAAACTGGAATAGCAGCAAGGCCAGGCGGACTGGGGACAGCAAGGAGTCACCACGGCCGGTAGTCCCGACGTATGGTCCTAGGGCTCAGGTCTCTCAGTTGGCTTTTCATAGCCGATCATTAAGAGTTGAAAACAGCAGGTCTGGGACAGGTAGGGGTTTCGTAGCCGCAGGCAGAACAGTTGAAACTGGAATAGCAGCAAGGCCAGGCGGACTGGGGACAGCAAGGTGTCATCATGCCCGGTAGTCCTGACGTATGGTCCTAGGGCTCAGGTTCTCAGAGAGAAAGAGAGAACGAGAGAATTAGAGAGAGCATACTTAAATTCACACAGGACACTGGATAAGACAGGAGAAGTACTCCAGGTATAACCAACTAACCCCAGCCCCCCGACACATAAACTACTGCAGCATAAATACTGGAGGCTGAGACAGGAGCGGTCCGGAGACACTGTGGCCCCATCCGAAGAAACCCCCGGACAGGGCCAAACAGGAAGGATATAACCCCACCCACTCCGCCAAAGCACAGCCCCCGCACCACTAGAGGGATATCCCCAACCACCAACTTACAATCCTGAGACAAGGCCGAGTATAGCCCACAGAGGTCTCCACCACAGCACAAACCAAGAGGGGGCGCCAACCCAGACAGGAAGATCACGTCAGTAACTCAACCCACTCAAGTGACGCACCCCTCCCAGGGACGGCATGAAAGAGCACCAGCAAGCCAGTGACTCAGCCCCTGCAACAGGGTTAGAGGCAGAGAACCCCAGTGGAGAGGGGAACCGGCCTGGCAGAGACAGCAAGGGCTGTTCGTTGCTCCAGCCTTTCCGTTCACCTTCACACTCCTGGGCCAGACTACACTCAATCATATGACCTACTGAAGAGATAAGTCTTCAGTAAAGACTTAAAGGTTGAGACCGAGTCTGCGTCTCTCACATGGGTAGGCAGACTGTTCCATAAAAATTGAGATCTATAGGAGAAAGCCCTGCCTCCCGCTGTTTGCTTAGAAATTCTAGGGACAATTAGGAGGCCTGCGTCTTGTGACCGTAGCGTACGTATTGGTATGTACGGCAGGACCAACTCGGAAAGATAGGTAGGAGCAAGCCCATGTAACGCTTTATAGGTTAACAGTAAAACCTTGAAATCAGCCCTTGCCTTAACAGGAAGCCAGTGTAGGGAAGCTAGCACTGGAGTAATATGATCAAATTTCTTGGTTCTAGTCAGGATTCTAGCAGCCGTATTTAGCACTAACTGAAGTTTATTTAGTGCTTTATCCGGGTAGCCGGAAAATAGAGCATTGCAGTAGTCTAACCTAGAAGTAACAAATGCATGGATTAATTTTTCTGCATCATTTTTGGACAGAAAATTTCTGATTTTTGCAATGTTACGTAGATGGAAAAAAGCTGTCCTTGAAACAGTCTTGATATGTTCGTCAAAAGAGAGATCAGGGTCAAGAGTAACGCCTAGGTCCTTCACAGTTTTATTTGAGACGACTTTACAACCATCAAGATGAATTGTCAGATTTAACAGAAGATCTCTTTGTTTCTTGGGACCTAGAACAAGCATCTCTGTTTTGTCCGAGTTTAAAAGTAAAAAGTTTTCAGCCATCCACTTCCTTATGTCTGAAACACAGGCTTCTAGCGAGGGCAATTTTGGGGCTTCACCATGCTTCATTGAAATGTACAGCTGTGTGTCATCCGCATAGCAGTGAAAGTTAACATTATGTTTTCGAATAACATCCCCAAGAGGTAAAATATATAGTGAAAACAATAGTGGTCCTAAAACGGAACCTTGAGGAACACCGAAATGTACAGTTGATTTGTCGGAGGACAGACCATTCACAGAGACAAACTGATATCTTACACATTTCTGTACTGAATGAAATATGAATACTACCTTTTTAAAACCATGTCTATCTTTATTTCCCAAACACAATTTAACACAATCACAATCATTTTTTGCATTTTAATAATTTTAAGCATCTTTTAACACAGGCTTAACACCTTAACACCTTTTTTAAACACTTTTATCATAGCGTTCTATGTTGTTACCTCATATTCTAGCCATAATAGCTTGCATTACGCCTGGGAAGAAAACACTTCAATTTGCTCAACTTGCCATTGGCTCAACAATTGGCTCAATTTATACCATGGCCATTGGCTCAACTTACCCCAAAGCAAACATTTAGACTTCCCAGCTCTGCAGATTTGGCTGTGAAGAGACAGAATCATTAGATAATTTGTTTTGGTACTGTCCATTTGTAGCTTGTTTCTGGACACAGGTCCAGGAATGGCTGAAGGATTGCAATATTTGCATGGAGCTGACCCTGCAGATAGCACTACTGGGTGATCTGAAAAGTCATAGTCAATCGATCAATAATATAATAATACTTTTAGCAAAAATGTTTATTTTCAATTCACAAACTGTAGAAACAATGAGAATAGAAAGGTTTAGAACTTTTGTAAAACATCACAGTACAGTTGAAAAATATATGGCAAATAGAAATCCGATATGGATGGTGTTAAGAGATAGATGGGAGGTGTTGAATGGAGCTGAAGGATGGGACTAACAACAAAAACTAATAACAACAAGATAACTAGTGTAAGGCATGCTGTGTCCATAATAAGTATATTATTATTATATTGTGAGCTTTTGTGAAAGAGCACAGTTAGAAAGATATGGCATATATAAGCATACCAGATGTACATCATGAAAATGATCGGAGGATGTTCAGGAGTAAAAACAAACAAAATATAATTATTGACTGTGTCCATAAAATGTATATAGTATGTATAAGCAGGAAGTAGAGGCCTAAGCATTGTTGTTCATTAGTTTACTCCAATTAGAGAAGGGTTGGTGGGGTTGGAAAGTAATAAAAGGAAATATATATATTTTTAAAGGATATGTATGTATATATATGTATGCGAGAGAAAAAAAACATATGGGGGATTGGAAGTGATGCAGACAATTACATTGATGGAAGTCACAATCTATCTGCAATATTAAAGCTGATCTTCCCCCTAAGAAAAAATTGACTATATTAGCTCACACAGCTACAATGATGCTAGGTTTAGGACCTCATATTGAAGCTTATAGAGACCACAACTGATGTATAGAACAATCTTAAAAGTATCTACTTTGGTTTAGATACAAGCATCATGAAACCTCTAACACAAAACAATACGTTTTCAGGACCTAACTTGCTTAACACTTTTTCAATGTAGTTTCTTCCTTCCCAGACTCCATGAAATGATGACCTCTTCCTAAATATTTGGTCAAATGATTAATTTTGTGTATGGTTTCCTAGAAACAAGGGTGGCTCAACTTACCCCTTCAGCTCAACTTACCCCACTCTGCCTTACTGACCTTTGCCCTTTCACCCCTGACAGTGCACCCTGACCCCCCGGTGGCCCTGAACTGGACGCTGCTGAACGTCAGCCGGTCAGGCCTGAACTATGACATCATGGCGAGCTGGGAACCCCCGCCCTCGGCCGACGTATCTGTTGGATGGTTGACACTGGTGTATGAACTCCAGTACAGGAGAAGGAACAGCTCACACTGGAAAGTGGTGAGTCACACACAGACGCACTCACACACACACCCTGACTGCACTTCCGGCCTATTACCAGCCTCTGCAGTTATGATCGGGCCGTAGCGGAAGCCAGAGCTAGACCACACTGACACTCTTTCAGCCCCATAACAAGAAGAGAAATCCTGTTGTTGACTGCCTCAATCAACGACAGTGCCAAGTTTGTGTTTGTGGCATAGAAGATTGTTTATAGAATAACATTTACTTTAATGTATAAGAGGGAGACATAAACCTTTTATTTTGACATTTCATAGCTTTAGATCATATTCCTCTCTTACAAAAGTGTTTGCCCATGTCTCCCTCTCCCCCCTTCCCCTCTGTCTCCCTCTCTCTCTCAGTTGGAACATGAGTTTGGCACCCAGAAGTCAATCTACGGACTTAGTACAGGAGAGGAGTATGAGTTGCGCGTGCACTGCGCAATGAGGGCCTTCAATAAATTTGGGGAGTTCAGTGATGCCATCTTTGTTCACGTATCAGAGAATCCCAGTAAAGGTGAGAGGTCAGGTTGGGGTCAGGGTGGCTCGGGTTAGGGCAGAGAGGAGGGGCAGTGTTGTCTACACAAAAAACAAACATGGCATCCATCTTGTGCAAGGAAGACACTTAATCAGGGATAGGGTAGGATTACCACATAATGCTAATTGTTAAATGATTGTTATTTATTGATTTGATGATGATGATGATGATCCTGTTCTAGAGTCCACATTCACTGTGACTCTGGTCCTGATCTTCGGGGCTGTGGGCCTGGCCATTCTGCTCATGCTCATCATCTTCTCTCAGCAGCAGAGGTGAGGACAAACAAACAAACACACACACACACACGCACCCACACTTCCGTCATCTTCATCTCCTCTCTCCCTCTTCCTCTCAGACTGATGGTGATTCTGCTGCCTCCTGTCCCTGCACCCAAAATCAAAGGGATAGACCCAGAACTGCTCAAGGTAAGACTAAAAACACTGCGTGCATGCATGCGTGTGTGTGTGCGTGCATTTGTCTTGTGAGTAGGTTTGATCAAGTACACTATATATACAAAGGTATGTGGACACCCCTCCAAATTAGTGGATTCGGCTATTTCAGCCACACCCGTTGCTGAAAGATGTATAAAATCGAGCACACAGCCATGCAATCTCCATAGACAAACATTGGTAGTAGAATGGCCTTACTGAAGAGCTCAGTGACTTTCAACGTGGCACCGTCATAGGATGCCACCTTTCCAACAAGTCAGTTTGTAAAATGTCTGCCCTGCTAGAGCTTCCCCGGTCAACTGTAATTGCTGTTATTGTGAAGTGGAAACATCTAGGAGCATCAACGGCTCAGCCGCGAAGTGGTAGGCCACACAAGCTCACAGAATGGGACCGGCGAGTGCTGAAGCGCATAGCGAGTAAAAATCGTCTTTCCTCGGTTGCAACACTCACTACCGAGTTCCAAACTGCCTCTGGAAGCAACGTCAGCACAAGAACTGTTCGTCGGGAGGTTCATGAAATGGGTTTCCATGGCCGAGAAGCTGCACATAAGCCTAAAATCACCATGCGCAATGCCAAGCGTTGACTAGAGTGGTGTAAAGCTCGCCACCATTGGACTCAGGAGCAGTGGAAACGCGTTCTCTGGAGTGATGAATCCAACGGACGAATCTGGGTTTGGCAGATGCCAGGAGAACGCTACCTGCCCCAATGCATAGTGCCAACTGTAAAGTTTGGTGGAGGAGGAATAATGGTCTGGGGCTGTTTTTCATGGTTCGGGCTAGGCTCCTTAGTTCCAGTGAAGGGATATCTTAACGCTACAGCATACAATGACATTCTAGACGATTCTGTGCTTCCAATTTTGTGGCAACAGTTTGGGGAAGGCCCTTTCCTGTTTTCAGCATGACAATGCCCCCGGGAACAAAGCGAGGTCCATACAGAAATGGTTTGTCAAGATTGGTGTGGAAGAACTTGATTGGCCTGCATAGAACCCTGACTTCAACCCCATCAACACCTTTAGGATGAATTGGAATGCCGACTGCGAGCCTGGCCTAATCGCCCAACATCAGTGCCCGACCTCACTAATGCTCTTGAGGCTGAATGGAAGCAAGTCCCCGCAGCAATGTTCCAACATCTAGTGGAAAGCCTTCCCAGAAGAGTGGAGGCTGTTATAGCATCAAAGTGGGGACCAAATCCATATTAATGCCCGTGATTTTGGAATGAGATGTTCGACGAGCAGATGTCCACATACTTTTGGTCATGTAGTGCATTTAGTATGTGAAAACAAGTGTAAATTGTTATGGCTCAGACAGAGCGCAATTCAGATGATTATTAATTAAGATCTCAGTCTCTTGTCTAAGTGTCCCTATGAACAGTAAGTAACACATTGTAATATGCTGGGAATTGACATGACCAGGGCATGCTCAAAGAAATAGAATGTTGATTCTATTTCTATGGGCATGCTATACTAATACAATAGGCTTTGTGGGTAAAAATTAGGGCTTGGCAATGAAAGGTTGTAAAAGGTGCTTGAAGCACTTGAAGTACTTGAATTCAGAGCTTAGACATGTAAGTACTTCTGTCTCAAACCCTCCTCACAAACACTCTCTGCCTCTATCTCTCTGTCACACCCATGCCGCATCCAGAAGGGAAAGCTGGATGAGCTGAACTTCCTCCTGAGTGTTGGTGGTATGGGGGGTCTCCACCCCTACCCCCCTGACCTTTACCAGGACGAGTCCTGGGTGGAGTTCATCGAGCTGGACGCAGACGAGCCTGAGCCTGGGGAGAAGGAGGACAACCAGAGCTCGGACACACAGAGACTGCTGGGCCTGGGTCAAAACAACCACCACACAAACCATGGCTGCTCTCATGCCCTCAGGTATGGATAGGTTTGCAAAACTACTGGTCATTTACCAAAGTTACCGGAATAATCTATGGTAATTTTGGTAATTTATACTTTTTTTTAAAAGTATTCATATATACAGTAGTATTAATTTTGTCATATTGCCCATGAGTTTCTAGTGGATATACCATATGGTTTAAGAGAAAATAGCCAAATTAATGAAAAAAGCGTCTAATCAACAATGGCATTATTTTCAATTAACTGTGCAACTCTTCCAACTATTAACTTTTTTCACAACTGCCAACAGTTTGGCAGCAAAACATTTACAACAAAGACATATTGACAAAGTAAAATAAATAAAAGTGTGTAAAAATAAAAAATCATATTTAATGCTGAAACCAGATTGCGAATTACACCGTGACATTCGCAGGGGTCTCTTTTGGGTGCGCGCTTGCATGATTTTTTTTTTATGGGCCTAATAATAAAGACGGAATTTAAAGGTAAAAATGTGTTACCTTTTAATGTGGCATGAACACAACCAGTCATAATGTTTTCATCTGATTGTCAAACAAATCACTTCAAAAAGTAGGCTAACTGTGCATGTTTGTCCACTCCAAAATAATTCCAGCATCCATACAATGCACTGCATCTATATAATCGGCCTACATAAGTTGAATCAAAACATGTTTAGACCCTAGTTCATGAGTTGTCCATAATTCATGAATTCATAATCAATGGCAATCGCAGAATGTCATTAGGCACACTTTTTGGTGTTTTGTAAACAGATGTATTTTTCCGTTCATCAAATGGCGCGAGTGTACATGCAGTGCACTGTTTGGATGCTGGAATTATTTTGGAGTCAAGAAACATGCACAGGTAGCCTACTTTCTGAAGTGATTTGGTAGACAATCAGATGACAACATCATGACTGGTTGTGTTCATTCCACATTAAAATATAATTCATGTTTAGGCCTACATTAAAGCTGCAATATGTAACTTTTTGGGCGACCCAACCAAATTGACATAGAAATGTGTGTTATAGACCTGTCATTCTCATTGAATGCAAGTCTAAGAAGCAGTAGATCTGTTCAATGTGCGGTATTTCTATGCTTCCCGTTCTTAAGTTTCATTTTTGCATCTTTTACTTTCAGTTTTGTACACCAGCTTCAAACAGCTGAAAATACAATATTTTTGGTTATGGAAAATATATTTCACAGCGGTTTAGATGGTACAATGATACTTTACATTATTCTTGCTTGTTTTGTCAGATAAACTGAAATTAGGCGAACTATTAGAATTTTAGAAACCAGAAAATGGCGGAGCGATTTCTGCATAGTGCATCTTTAATTTAACTGACAAATTGACCTACAGTGGGGGAAAAAAGTATTTAGTCAGCCACCAATTGTGCAAGTTCTCCCACTTAAAAAGATGAGAGAGGCCTGTAATTTTCATCATAGGTACACGTCAACTATGACAGATAAATTGAGAAAAAAGAATCCAGAAAATCACATTGTAGGATTTTTAATGAATTTATTTGCTAATTATGGTGGAAAATAAGTATTTGGTCAATAACAAAAGTTTATCAATACTTTGTTATATAGCCTTTGTTGGCAATGACACAGGTCAAACGTTTTCTGTAAGTCTTCACAAGGTTTTCACACACTGTTGCTGGTATTTTGGCCCATTCCTCCATGCAGATCTCCTCTAGAGCAGTGATGTTTTGGGGCTGTCGCTGGGCAACACGGACTTTCAACTCCCTCCAAAGATTTTCTATGGGGTTGAGATCTGGAGACTGGCTAGGCCACTCCAGGACCTTGAAATGCTTCTTACGAAGCCACTCCTTCGTTGCCCGGGCGGTGTGTTTGGGATCATTGTCATACTGAAAGACCCAGCCACGTTTCATCTTCAATACCCTTGCTGATGGAAGGAGGTTTTCACTCAAAATCTCACGATACATGGCCCCATTCATTCTTTCCTTTACACAGATCTTTTGTCCTGGTCCCTTTGCAGAAAAACAACCCCAAAGCATGATGTTTCCACCCCCATGCTTCACAGTAGGTATGGTGTTCTTTGGATGCAACTCAGCATTCTTTGTCCTCCAAACACGACGAGTTGAGTTTTTACCAAAAAGTTCTATTTTGGTTTCATCTGACCATATGACATTCTCCCAATCCTCTCTTCTGGATCATCCAAATGCACTCTAGCAAAGTTCAGACGGGCCTGGACATGTACTGGCGTAAGCAGGGGGACACGTCTGGCACTGCAGGATTTGAGTCCCTGGCGGCGTAGTGTGTTACTGATGGTAGACTTTGTTACTTTGGTCCCAGCTCTCTGCAGGTCATTCACTAGGTCCCCCCGTGTGGTTCTGGGATTTTTGCTCACCGTTCTTGTGATCATTTTGACCCCACGGGGTGAGATCTTGCGTGGAGCCCCAGATCGAGGGAGATTATCAGTGGTCTTGTATGTCTTCCATTTCCTAATAATTGCTCCCACAGTTGATTTCTTCAAACCAAGCTGCTTACCTATTGCAGATTCAGTCTTCCCAGCCTGGTGCAGGTCTACAATTTTGTTTCTGGTGTCCTTTGACAGCTCTCTGGTCTTGGCCATAGTGGAGTTTGGAGTGTGACTGTTTGAGGTTGTGGACAGGTGTCTTTTATACTGATAACAAGTTCAAACAGGTGCCATTAATACAGGTAACGAGTGGAGGACAGAGGAGCCTCTTAAAGAAGAAGTTACAGGTCTGTGAGAGCCAGAAATCTTGCTTGTTTGTAGGTGACCAAATACTTATTTTCCACCATAATTTGCAAATAAATTCATTAAAAATCCTACAATGTGATTTTCGGGAAATGTTTTTCTCATTTTGTCTGTCATAGTTGACGTGTACCTATGATGAAAATTACAGGCCTCTCTCATCTTTTTAAGTGGGAGAACTTGCACAATTGGTGGCTGACTAAATACTTTTTTCCCCCCACTGTATTTTGTAGCCTGAAAAATCGGGACACCTGAAATGCGGCTGAAACTGTCCGAGGAAAAACGGGATGGTCACCCAAACAGACATGGTCAATTTACTGGACTAGGCTACAATGTGTATTACCATGAACTTCAAACAGGCCTACCGGTAGTCAGTGATGTAGTGGTAAAAAATAGGGGGGTAATCACTGATTGCCAGTCGTGGTGAAAAAGGTAACGCTCCCTATACTTTCAATGCATTTTCCTGAAAAAAGTGGGTAAATGGCATTTACTTGCGTTTACTCACCACTAGGCCTACACCACTGCTGGTAGCCTACCCTCTTAGTCGAGGCAATTTTACACACATGAACACATACAGAACATGTAGCCGACATTCAATATAATAGGCCTGAATGAAAACATGTTTACACACTAGTTCATTAGTTGTTCATAATTCATGAGTTGAATGCTTGGAGTCTTCACAGATCGTGTGACACAAAACGCTATCTTTCTTTCCTTTCATGAATTACATTTATTACAGTGTTATTTGTCATTATTAAGCATTTAACAATTGAATTTGAGTATTGAACATTAAACCCTGTATGATTCCTGGATTTTGGAGATCTCGGAAAGTGCACTAAGTCTATCTATGCCTATGTAACATTTCATTAGGTTTCGCCGTGAAAACAGTTTTTATGGGCACACAAATCCAAAATAATGTAGGCCAATGCCATTGCAAAATCGAATGCTTCTAACTGAAAGAGTCAACTATAGGCCTACTGTCATTAATGTATACTTGTTAGATGGATTGGATGAGCATTGGTGTCTAGCTGTAGGCTAGTTGTCTAGGGATATTGTCGGCCATCATCAGATGATCCAAGAAAGAAAACAAATATTGATAGAAAATAATCAAGCTAAATGGCCTACTTTCTTTGGCCAAGGACTGCACAGAGAACACCAATACCGTGCGCACCTGAAAAACAAAGCAATGAACACTCTAAACAGCTCACTGACAAAAGCAAACAATGATAAATGAATGAATAAATCTAATGCATTGGAATAAAGGCCATTTTTATTAAGGATGCATGGCAAACAAATGGCGAAAAAGTACAAAGGAAAATCTATGCATTTAAAGGAGCTCATCTGAGGCCGAAATGCAGCACTACTGAGTGGACAGCGCCGCTGTCTAGCCAGATATAGAATTCTACACTACTATTCATGGACAGGGAGACAGACGGTTTGTGCAGCCATGTAGAAATAAATGGTTTAAACCATGACAGAGAGGTGGGGGTGTTCGTTTCATTTGGAAGCTTCTATTTTCATATTTACCACTGTAAAACATATTTACCACTGCATTTTAAACAAATAGAAGAATGGTTAAATTATAATGATTTAGAGACCCCTCCCAAAGTTGGACTTTTGTTGCATTTAGGCGAGCTAATGTCTCATTCAGGGGAGTTGATCCCCCGTAATTCGCACCCTGGCTGAAACCCTCATATTGAACACCAATGGTATTCACTAAGTTGATGGTTTATATTTAGGATAATGTTTTACAGCTTTTTCATTCTATTTGTTGTTTTACTATCATTATATTTGATTATTTTATATATTTTACATGTGATAAGGCCACACAGAGTGCCAGAGATAATTACAGACACCTGTGATAATCTGAAGTACCCATAAAGCCCACTAGATGTCATATTATACATTCCCCCCCCGCCCCCAAATACTGAAAGTTACCAAAATTCTGATTGTTTACACGTAAAATTTGAACGTTTCGACTAATATACCCTCCCTTTGTAACCCTAGGTATGGAGCAGGCTTTATTCAGTAAAAAATGTGTACAATTACTGGACACTAGGAAAGTGTGGACTGGAGCCTCTTATGGAGGCATGAAGCAGCGTTACAGTAGCGATGAGAACTGGAATGGTACCGCTAGGTAACTCTCTTTCCTCCTTCATCTCTCTCTCTCTCTCTCTCTCTCCTCTCTCTCTCTCTCTCTCTCTCTCTCTCTCTCTCTCTCTCTCTCTCTCTCTCTTTCTCTCTCTCTCTCTCTCTCTCTCTCTCTCTCTCTCTCAGTATCCCTGATAATGACTATGATCCAGAGCTGCCTGACCAGGAGACCCTGATGTTGATGGCTGCCCTCCTGTCCAGCCAACCTGACAAAGTTGAACCCTGCCTGGGAAACCAGAGGAGACACTCAGCCCTAGAGGTGCTGGAGGTCCCATACCCAGGGCTCCAAGCTCCAGAGGGAGGGGAGAGGCCCCTGGTCCAGACCCAGCTGGGAGGCCCTCATAGCTGGGTAAACATAAACTTCTATGCCCAGGTCAGCGATGTAATGCCCACCGGAGGGGTGGTGCTCTCCCCAGGCCAACAGGTCAGAGCCCCGGAGAACGCTCCAACAACAGAGGAGGATAAGAAGAAGAAGGGGAAAATGGAGGGAGGAGAGGAGGAGAGTGAGGGGGAGGAGGAGGAGAGGAGAAATAAGAAGTTGCGGTCTCAGCTGCTGGTGGTGGATCCTGAGGCTGGAGGCTACACGACAGAGAGCAGTGGCCGGCAAATCAGCACCCCTGACCCCTCCTCACCTAGGGAGGTCTACCACACCTTCCCCCCACCTCCCCCCTATCTCCTGCATACCACCCCCCTAGGGGACTACCAGTCCCCGTACATCCTTCCCGACTCCCCTGCTCAGTTCCTCCCCCCTGTTTTGGACTACACTGTGGTTCAGGATGTTGACTCCCAGCATAGCCTTCTCCTCAACCCCACTTCCCCCCAGAGGTCCCCCTCCTGCACCCCACAACCCCCCTTCAAGCCCCTGCCCACCATGCCTATAGGGTACCTCACCCCGGACCTGTTAGGCAACATCTTGCCTTAAAGAAAAAAACACCTCGCAGGAGCCTTGGGGCATAGAGGTCAGAGTTCACACGCCAGGAAGTCAGTAATCATCTCAGACAGGCAGTCTTGTTCTACCTGATCACCGCTGGAAACCAAATATGTCATGGGACAGACAGGCACAACGTTTGTTTGAGAGGGTGATGGAAGGGAAGCTGGGAAAGAGAAATGTTTAGATGTTGTGTTTGGATTTTACATGAGTGAGACTGGAACTTGAGGAGAGAGTAAATTGGCCTTTCTGGTTTAACAGAGCTTAAAGTAAGACTTGTGTTGAACAAATCTTACTGTGGTCTGTCTGACTAAGACTGAGACACCCAAAAACCCACAGTCGGAAACCTTTAAATGCACAGATTTCTAATATAACGTTACACAGAGATACACTTGGGCACCACACATACGCAGACAGACAAGCTCAGACATGATTCTAGTTGTATGTTTTCTGATACTTAAATGTATCTAGCATTTGACTGATGAAGTGCTATGTAAACATTTGCCTTGCAGACACACCCAGTCCCACCTTAATGTTTCCTACTTTGATCTATTATAGAAATGTCAGAGAAAAGTGAGTAAAGAAACAAGTTCATATATATCATATAACTTACAGTATAGATGTTTAATACTGTAGCATATTGGTTTAAGTCTTAACTGTAATGTAGATGGATCAAGTAACATAATGTAAAGGAGGATAACAAGCACATTTATACAATCACACACACACACACACACACACACACACACTTTAACATCATTGTTATGGCCTCATTAATTGACAGAACACTTGAGTGTGCTGTTTGTCAAACTTACCGCTACAACGAGCACAGAGTGACCATTAGTGACTATCGTTGTTCATTTAGCACTCTCATTATTTTGCTAAATGGCATATTTTCATGCTTATATTTCGCTTTGAATTCTTGCAGCAGTCATCTAATAGTTACCAGACTGAGGTCACAGTATTTAACACTGCCATTAGACAACTTGTCTGCACTCAATGTGACAACTCAGACTCTGCTTACCATAATAAATGGAGAAGAAGACAGAGTGTAATGAGACATTAACAAGCACAGAGTAGATTCTCACAATACAGGAAAGACTGCTTTTATATGTTCTACTTACTTTGCATTCATTTTAATTGCAGGGACAATGACTGAAAATGTATAAAGAGGTAGTTCGAATATTTTTCTGTTTCTCTCTCTTGTTCTCAATGTAGTTGCAATGCCAATGTTAATGTGCTCTCGATATATGATAGTGAAATTTGCCTCTTTTTATGTAGTGAAACGTACTTAGACGCTCAGGGTTTTCTATATGTACCCAACCTTGTAAACATGCCCAAGCAAGCACACACACACACACACAAGCACACACACACACACACAAGCACACACACACACCAAGCAAGCACACACACACACACACAAGCACACACACACACACACAAGCACACACACACACACACAAGCACACACACACACACACAAGCACACACACACACACACAAGCACACACACACACACACAAGCACACACACACACCATCTCAATTGAAAATACACTCTGTAGATACAGTAGATTATACATGTATCATCAGAAGAAAGATCATCTTCATCCCAAAGAGAAACCATCAGATCTAGTGGTTGTGTGGGGAGCTATGTGTTTGGTGTTATAATCATAATTGTTCATAGGCAATGAACGCTTTAAAGGTGAATGTGAACTGTTCAGGGCCATCATTATTGGAGAATTTTGTCTCTGTGTATGACTGTGGGATCCTCTCAGATCCATTTAGTGTATACACTCTTAGAAAAAAGGGTTCCAAAAGGGTTCTTCGCCTGTCCCCATAGGAAAACCCTTTTGGGTTCCATGTAGAACCCTCCGTGGAAAGGGTTATAAATTGAACCCAAAAGGGTTCTACTTGTAACCAAAAATGGTCCTTCAAAAAAGGTGCTACCTAGAACCTAAAAGGGTTCTTCTGCTGTCCCCATACAGCAGAAGAACCCTTTTAAGTTCTAGGTAGCACCTTTTTTTCTAAGAGTGTACAAACTGCATCGCAAGAACTGAAAGCCTATCTTTAAGTGCAGGAAATCTGTTATTATTTTGTGGTGTTCACTACAGGTGCTCTTGACCTTAGCAGGGCTTTCTCCCAAGTACAACAGCATAGCATGAGCTATTTTAGATAGAGGCTGTGATTCACAGTCCTTGTCAATCAAACCTTGAGACCAGGTTTCTAAGGTAAATATGAAACATTCAGTATATTATGCCGGTACAGCAAGAATGTTCAGTTCAGAGTTCAATATGGACAATATCAATGTTCAGTTGTCGATTCATCTATTCAACAATTCATGAATGATGATAAGTGTTTTTAGACACATGATATCACAACACAACCTGTTCTAATGTGCCATTCTCTGGCATGCTTATTCTCTCTCTCTCTCTCTCTCTCTCTCTCTCTCTCTCTCTCTCTCTCTCTCTCTCTCTCTCTCTCTCTCTCTCTCTCTCTCTCTCTCTGCTTCATTGAGAAATAATTAAGTGAACTGCTGCTGCCACCTGTGGTGATGATACCAGCATGGAAACATTGAAACAAATGTCTTAATATATGTCTACTAGTGCCGTAACAACTATGTGTGTTGTATTTTGTCTTGTTGCTAATCAGAAATGTTGCTGCTAGGTAGGTTTCCCCACCTGGATTCAGCCTTACCATGGGCTTATGCAGGAGGGTGCAACTTCACAGAAGGTTGAGATCGAAATGAGTTGTCTATAACAGACATTATTCTATGTTGTGTTGTAGAATATGAAAACATGTCAGCTCTATACATTGCATTTCTGTGCCTCTGTGTATACAGTATAAGGAAAGATATATCAGATTATTTAGATAATGAAGTACTCATATAACATTTATGGTTCTTTGAAAAGTTACAGATATAGGAAGAGAGAAAGGAGGACAACTCTATTCACGCTTACGAGACATCTGTTTACCATTTGTGCAGTGGTGGAAGAAGTACAAAATTGTCATACTTGAGTAAAAGTAAAGATACCTTAAAAGAAAATGACTCAAGTGAAGGTCACCCACTAAAATACTACTTGAGTAAAAGTCTAAAGGTATCTGGTTTTAAATGTACTTAAGGACAGTGGTGGAAAAAGTACTACATTGTCATAAAAGCAAAAGTAAATGCTATACATCAAAATCCTTATATTAAGCAAACCAGATGGCACAATTTTCAATTTTTTAAAAAATGTATGGACAGCCAGGGGCACACTCCAACACTCAGATATCATTTACAAATCCAATATTTGTGTCTAATTATTCCACCAGATCAGAGGCAGTAGGGATGACAATGTGTTATATTGATAGGTGTGTAAATTGGACCATATTGCTCTCCTACTAAGCATTCGACATGTAACGAGTACTTTTGGGTATCAGGGAAAATGTATGTGAGTAAAAAGTAAATACACTACATTACCAAAGGTATGTGGACACCTGCTCGTCGAACATCTCATTCCAAAATCATGGGCTTTAATATGGAGTTGGTCACCCCTTTGCTGCTATAACAGCCTCCACTCATCTGGGAAGGCTTTCCACTAGATGTTGGAACATTGCTGCGGGGACTTTCTTTCATTCAGCCACAAGAGCATTAGTGAGGTCGGGCACTGATGTTGGGCAATAAGGCCTGGCTCGCCGTCGGCGTTCCAATTAATCCCAAAGGTGTTCGATGGAGTTGAGGTCAGGGCTTTGTGCAGGCCAGTCAAGTTCTTCCACACCGATCTCGACAAACCATTTCTGTATGGACCTCGCTTTGTGCATGGGGGCATTGTCATGCTGAAACAGGAAAGGGCCTTCCCCAAACTGTTGCCACACAGTTGGAAGCACAGAATCATCTAGAATGTAATTCTATGCTGTAGAGTTAAGATTTACCTTCACTGGAACTAAGGGGCCTAGCCCGAACCATGAAAAACAGCCCCAAACCATTATTCCTCCTCCACCAAACTTTACAGTTGGCACTATGCATTGGGGCAGGTAGCATTATCCTGGCATCCGCCAAACCCAGATTCGTCCGTCGGATTGCCAGATGGTGAAGCGGGATTCAACACTCAAGAGAACGAGTTTCCACTGCTCCAGAGTCTAATGGCGGTGAGCTTTACACCACTCCAGCCGACGCTTGGCATTGAGCATGGTGATTTTAGGCTTGTGTGCGGCTGCTCGGCCATGGTAACCTATTTCATGAAGCTCCCGACAAACAGTTATTGTGCTGACGTTGCTTCCAGCGGCAGTTTGGAACTCAGTAGTGAGTTTTACAACTGAGGACAGACAATTTTTGCGGAATAAAAGTAATGGAGTGAAAGTACAAGTTTATATAAATAGTAAAGTGAAGTACAGATACCCAAAAAAACTACTTAAGTAGTACTTTATAGTATTTTTACTTAAGTACTTTACACCACTGCGTTTGTGTCAGTAATTTTGCTAATGTACCTTATGTTTAATGGAATGCTACAGTTTCAATATTAGCTAAATTGTGCATGTGTTGGAATATTACAGAAACGCTTAAGCAACCACTGTATGATTTAGGCTGTCATATATCCATATTTTGTATTTCAGACTAAATCAAGTATCTGTGAATTATCTATCATGAATGCATAGCAGAATACATTGTATAAGAATTGGACAGGGAGAAACCTATCAATATGCTTCAATTACATTCTTTACAATATTGCCTTGATATTCACCACAAAGATGATAAGATAATGTGTGTTGTTCAGCCTATAAGAAACTTTCCTACAGAGTATTTTGTATTGTCATACAGTATAGATATGGTAGTACAAGTATTATTTCAAGATATGAGCCAATATCTTGCTGTAACTAAACTCTATATTGTATTTTGTTTTTCTACAATCCCATGTCATCTGTGTCAAAGGCTTATCTTAACATTTTGACATTAAAAGAGAGATGAGGAAGGGGGCTATAGTGGCTTTTAAATCTGCTTAAAACTTTTACATC